AATGCAGAGTCTTCTGAATACCTTGACAGGCTGCAATCTACGAATGTTTGGCATGCGATTGGCTCCTGTCAAATTCAGGTGAGATGATGCTACAAGACTGGACTACACTGAATCCTAGCTAAGAAATGCGGAGTGAAGTGGTAGAGCACGTTGACCACTTCACTTATTCGTCAAGTTGCATCAACCCCAACGGGTTGATCTCTGACGAAATCTCAGTACGGATACAGAGGGCTGGTTTCGCATATGCCAGTTTACGCCGTCTCTGGCGTAGACGTGATATCCGGCTGGCTGTCGACCAAAGGGCGTGTGTACTGTTCAACAGTCCGCTCCGTCCTCCTTTATGGCTGTGAGACGTGGCCATTTAAGGTGGGATATACGAAAAGGCAGGCTAGCTGTCTTTGATCATAGGTGCCTGCGTTCTATCTCCCGTGTGAATTGGTAAAATATGGTGAGCAATATTGAAGTTAGGCATTGAGTGCTAGGTAAGGAGGGGAAATCAGTAGACGAGACTGTGAAGCTATATCGACTGAGGTGGTTAGGAAATGTGTTACGCATGCCTGCCTAGTCATCGCCTTCCTCAACGGGCAATGTCAGCTGACATATAGTCGGGCTGGTGAAGAGCTAGTGGCGGTCAAGCGAAAACATGGCACCAGTCAATGAAATCCACAACAGTTCGTTTAAACCACGTAGGAAGGTGCAGACTTCCTGACTTGTTGGAGTCCTCAGGACGGCAAACACCAATGGCTGGAGACAATTGGTGATATGGCTCAAAATCGTTCTCAGTGATGGCGCAGATGCATTCAATCATTGTGACCTATGATTTCCAATGCAACCATATTCTTCGTTATTACTATTCCTTTGTCTCATATCCCTGTCTGCTGTCTCTATTTTGCATTTCTTCTAATTTCTTCTCTTACTTTGTATGCTACATGGAGTGTAGCGACTTGAACTGCTGCACATCTGTGCAAAGTTCTGTGTTGAAAACAGACAGATATAGCATTATATGGATATGATACATAATCAATCACATGTGAACAGATGTGATGATGATGTGTTTGAATTCAATGATTCTTGCAATATTAATGGTACTGCTGTAAAACCATATCAGATATTTGAAGTTTGACCACGGATTGATATCAATTAGAGAACCATTGGAAAACACGGAGTACTGGACAGTCGTTTCGTCCTTGTTTTAGGATCTTCAACAGTACCGACCCACCGTGATTCAAACCTAGGACCTTTCGGTCAGAAGGTGAACTTGTAGACCACTCAGCCAGTGATCCTGATTCAGTGGTCCATAAACTCTAACTTCTATCAATTCGCTAGTGAAGGTCTACAGGACGAAGTTGCCTTGAGTTCTGGTGAAAAGTCGTGACCAGTGGGGTTTATCCGGTACGGAGTGAGTAGAAATACTTGCCGATGAAAATGGCTGGTGGTCATGCTAAAACCACGAATCAGTGGAAGTTAAAATTAATGGGACAGTGAGTTGGGGCCCAGTGGCTAAATGATCAACGAGCTTTCTTTGTACCTAGAAGGTCCTGCATTCGAACCCCAGTGGATGGGTATCGCCGACAAATCGCGAACTAGGACGAAACAACTATCCATTACTGCATTAGTTTCAGTGGTTCTGTAACTGATATAAATCCGTGGCCAAAGTTGAAAGAAACGCATTTCCTAATATCTAACTTGAAAATATCGAATTTTACCTACCTCGGTATTAGGTTTCTCTATGATCTTTGTTGATAGTCTCATGACTCGTCGATTTCTGAAAATGTCTTTCTAGTAATCTGTCACATAAAGTGGCTGTAGCTTTTTGGCTATAAACCAACCTCTTCTTTTAAATTTTATTAATTCATTTATTCTACTGATTCCTTAACAGTGTTTGCCCTTATGCTCTCCAGAGCTTCTCAAAAGCGACAATCTCATATTATGTAGGACTTTGAAGGATGTAAACAGGATTATTGATACGATTGTGATGTGAGTAACTGACATGGTTCCTAGTACATATTTAACCTGGTTTATGTAGTTGGCTAAGATCATCTTGTCCGGTGCTGAACATCCTGTTTATTCAAGAATTTATTCTTAGATTGCCCAAGGAATAGCCAGCGGTAATCTCACTAGAGTTTATGCTGGTATGGTTAAATATTAAAATTTAGCCATAATCTATTTGACACAAGTATTATATGAGGAAATAAATGTTACTTTAACCGATGTGCATATGCACGTTGGTGACTTGAAGCAGTTCTCGCCTTCACAATGCTTTTCTTAGTTGATCTACTAACTAATCTACGGTCATCTACATTCATACCCTCCAAAAGTCTATCGTGTGCGTCGGTGGCACAGTGGTAGGATATTCTTATGAACCACGCATATGGTCCGGAGTTCGATCCCCAGCCGACGCACTCTTCCTTTACGTCGCTAAGCCAGTAATAAGTCTGGTAAAGAGGGAAGAGTGGGCATGAAGCTAGCAACCCCATCCCGTAAAAAATAAACACCAGTGCTACGGAAACTTCAGGCCCAATTTTCTACTGGGAACGTATAGGAATAAAAACGTCTATCGTAGCTCAGTACTTCTGTGTAATGCACGAAAATGTTGACTACCAGTTGTAATTATCTCAGGTTAACTCTGTGTCACAGTATGACATCAGTGGTAAATACAGTCAGCTATTTAGTCGGTTAATGTTGTTAAATAAAAGGGATTTTATATCTACTTAAGCTGACTTATGGAATATTTTAACATTAGAGAAGAATGTTAACCCTGTTTATTTAATAAAGCGTACAGAGAGATAAAGTGTAAGATATACACCTGACTAAGTTTCATATAAGATCAAGAAATGAGCCAACATTAATTCTGCATACATTGAAAACTTTATTTGTAGCAGTTAATTTGTATTTGATCATGAGCTGACATCAGCTAGTGTAGACCTCTTTGGGACTATTTGATAGTACACGTCCGCCTGGGTACAAGCCAAGGACCTTCCGGTTACACGGTGAACGTGTAGACCATTCAGACACTAAGACCTGATCCAACGGCCCATGAATTCCGACTACTGCCAATTTGTGGCATACAGCACAACCGCCAGCCAATGTCAATGAAGAGTAATTGTTGAGACCAGCAGGGTCAACCAAGTCACGTAAGAGGATAGGCAGAAATTGACATGTGCCATTGGGTAGGGTATCAATGACTGAATGGTCCACCAGCTGGCCTTGCAACCTGAACACCCTGGGTTCGAACTCTGGGGCATATGTGTTGCTGAGGATGAAACAGGCGTCTAGTATTCTATAGATTTCCAGTGGCTCTCTAAGTGATGGCGGCTCATGATCAAACACCAGCACTCAACAATTTGTATTTCCTATCGATTGCTTTTTACTGGATCAAAATATTCGATCTTAGGTGACATGCCGACTGTAATTATGCAAAATTTGTTGATGTCCGAAGGTTACCATTATGTTACTTACCATCGGTGGCTAGCAGTAGAATCCAGAATGTGCTTGCGGCTCCATAAATAGAATTCTCTGCCTTCCGAGTGGAACATAGGGCTTTAGCGGCATATCCTTCAGCTTTTAGTTATTGTATGGCCTTCAAGACTACTGTTTTGCTCCAGGAGTTGGTATTTACTGGCAGTTCTGTGTACCTTGGTGGTATTTACGCAGGACATTTAGGTTTTGGTCAATTAAAGTGTCATTTGAAGTGACTAACCCATTCTTTCGTTTGCTCCTCTTTAGTATTTAGGTTTCCTTCACTATGTTTCATGCATTTCATCTGTGCCTAATCTCTTGGCATAATTTCGACTTGGTAATTTGATACAGTGTAGTGATGTCTCTCTTATTTGCTACAGTTTCTGCTAGTTGCCAGTGTGGCGTAAAAATTATCTTGTTTTTCTTATACTCCGCTTTTGCTTTCGTTGTTTGTCTCTGAACTGGTTCATAATAGTTTTACTAATAAATTTCTGACTTATTCCAATATATATTTCGTCACGAATAGGCATCAGATAGAAAACCACTGAGAACCTAGGAGCGTTGGATGGCTATCTCGTCATAGTTCGGTATTCTTCAGCAGTACCCCCTCCATGATCCAACCAGGCACCGGTCACAGGGCCTTCGGGTTATGAGATAAACCCATTTCTCATTCAACAACCGCTAACAACTTGCGGCGATAAGCGTCAGCTTAACTATAGCATGATAGACGACATCCGTCATGACTTAGCATAATAGCTGAAGACTTACATATTCCGATTTTGGATCTTGTTGTGATTTTAATTAATTTTCAACGAAGATTTTATCACACACCAACATCAATCATAGAGTCAATGAAGACAAAGGATCATTGAACAACTAATAGTTTTGTAACCTAACAATTTTGGGTTCAATATCTGGTGGGTCATTTGTGTGCACTACTGAAGAAGTCCCTACAGGTACTCCTTGGTTTTCGGTTCGTGACGAAATCTACACTGAAACGTATCAACACGTCCTTACAGAATACAGAATTCTATTTTGACCGATAGAATTCAATCTGTGTCGACCAAAGGACTAGACACATGACATTTAGTTGCTATCTAGCATTCAAACAGAGTATTCATTACAGTCTTATATTAGGTCAACTGAGAGTCCAGGTAGTTCGGTGGTAACATCTCTGACCTGGGTTCGAATCTCAGAAGGGACATGAATTCCTTGAAGATTGCAGGTAAGTCTTGCTGACGAGTGGTCCATTGTCTTCACCCATCTAACTACTATTCACAGTGAACCATAATATCTAGTCACCTAACATGAAGCTGACATTACAAACTTAACTGATAGAATCCAGTCTGCACCAAACACAGGACCAGAAGCATGACATTAATTACTACCCCTAGTGTGTCCAATCACAAGCGAATTTCCGTCTTATTTGGTGAATGCAAACGATCCTATGCCTACTTATACACTGAATCCGTCTTTTAGTTTTATTCATAAAGAGAAAATAATAATAATAACAACAACGTTTTTAATTAATTTATTTACAGAGTAAAATATGACAATATCTCATGTGATAAATCACCTGAAGTCTATCGTAAATTGGCTATCTCGAATGTATTAGACTCAAAACGGAATAGTTTACGAAGCAATGGATTGGAACAATTTAATCGACGTGATCTGTTGACAGCTATGCTGACAAATCATGCATGCAAAAACCATTTGGATGTTGATGCATATCGAGTAGGTAAATATATTGTGGTTTTACGCCTGTTATTCCTTTTAACTAAATTACTATTATTTTTTTATCATTATTGTTCCCTTGGATTCCGAGTAGAACATAGGGCTGGCTTCAACAACACATCTCCATTTCGTTCTATTTGGTGCTATCCTTTTACCTGGGTCTGCGATCGCTCGTAATCTCCTCCATGTCACCCTTGCACTGACGACCCATTCGTCGCAGCCCATTCAGATTCCACTTGAGCAATGGCCTGCATTGAGTGCGATGTCTTTCACTGGCCTCCTCAGTGTATGTCCGATCCATCTCCCTTTTAATTAAAAAATTTAGTTAAATATCAGAATTATTTGTTTACACAGTAGTTAGTACAACTGTCTGAGACAGCCTTCATCTTTTTTTCTTTTTTGCTAAGACTTTTATTCAGTTAAGAGGAGATAGATTTTTGGTTATGAAATTAAATGACACGGACCAACGCTACTGACAAACATGGGTGGTTACGCATGATTTTCACATGACTGATAAAGACTTTGTGATGATATTGGATGGTTGGAGGCAATCGGCAGGAAGCCTTGGACCTAGGTTTTGTGCTAGTTGGCACTCGTCAGCAAGGCGTATCTGCAACCTTGAAGGAACTCATGTCCCTTCTGAGATTCGAACCCGCGTCACCCAGTGCTGCAGTCAGAGACGTTACCACTGAGCTATTCGGGCTCGCGATTGACCTCCTGTAGGACTGTAGTGGATGTTTTGATTTGACACTAGTAACTAGGTGACTTTATTCTAAGACAGGGAATAAGAAAAATTATGCAAAGATTGACTTTATTATGTGTAATCGATAGAACTTGACTGAGATTGATACTCATTCACCAGTCGATGATCGTATTGATTAGTGGATGGCGTGATCAAGTGATAAGTGTTCACGAGAAACTCTATGAATGAAGATCAAAAGATGGAATGACCGGTCACCTAAATAAGAAAAAAAAATTATTTTTCATTCGACTTCTGTTTACAGTGAGGTTCAAAAAAATGATGTAAAAATGGCTTGCAAAACACTAATTAGTTCTTGAATTGGATGGAGGATTTCATCATAAGCTGACATCAATTAGAGAACTACTGGAAAACCTGGGAGTACTGGACAGCTGTTTCATCCTAGTTTGGGACTCTTCAACAGAAGTTAGAATTCAAGGGCCATTGAATCGGGTCCCAGTGGCCTAATGGTTCACGAGCTTGCCTTGTAACCAGAAGGTCCTGGGTTCGAACCTGGCGGCGGGTGCGTACTGCTGAAGAGTCCCAAACTAGTGTGGCAAAACAGTTGTCCAGTACTCCCAGTTGGCTGTCCAGTGGTTCTCTAACTGATATCAGCTCATCATGAAATCCTCCATCCAATCAAACTAAGTCCCTACAAAACCAATACTTGAAAGTTCTTGAATTGATGATGCTCGAACATGGTCATTTACGTTGCCATAATTCATTTAGTTAATTTATATTCTAGGTATAATAAAACTAGGTAACTGGTCACAGGTTTGAGTTTTGGTGGGTGCATCATCACTCACTGAGGCAGCCCTAATAGCTGAATGGTATTTTCTGCGGTTGTAGCAGTTGGCCACATAAGGTTTGAGTCCTTGTGGAGGTACAAGTTCTTTTGAAAATGCAAATACCACTGATAATACTTGTACTCAAGCTATCGTTACTGTAGCGATCAGAACCCACGTGTTGTCCTCTAAACCTTGAAAATCCCTGGATGCATTCTGTTGTATAGAGCTAACCAAGACTTCTCGAGTTATGCACAGTTCTGTAATATCCCGACCACAGTGGAAAGACAGTTATTTGCAATCATATCTCCGAAGTACTATTCAACAACAGTAATAACATAGTAAAAAAAACTCAAAATCACCTCAACGATACTGTTAGGCAACTGTCCAGATTCAATAATTTCTCAGGTACAAAACGATTACTATTTTCAACAAAATTATTTAACCAAAATCAACTGTAAGATGTACGTGAGAATTAAGAAGAATATTGGCAACAAGGTAGTGGGATCAAAACTTTGTAAACAAGAATCAAACACACCAAACACTTCCCGCTGACAGTCCAAGAACAAAATGATCTTGATTCACTGAGACAGAATCGTGGTCACAAACCAACATATTGTAAATATCATCACACACACAACAATCGAAAACGAGAGGGGTATTAAAATTAGAGACTAAACAGGAATAAAGATACAATAATAAAGACTAAGTCAATCGGAGTGATATGCAAAAGGTAGAAAATCATTAAAAAGTTATTCGAAATATCCAAATAAGCATCAAATATTGTAATTACATAGTTCAGGAGGAATTTTACTCAACAATTATTGCGTTACACTTATTACTGATACCTGCATAATACGCTTCTCCAAATTTCCCCGTCATATTCTTCATTCCCCTGGTGAAAGAAGCATTATTTGCAAGACAAGCTTTCACTACTCTCAAGTCTGTGTGGAGGTCAGCAACACTCAGCATCAAAAATAAGATCCGGGTTTTCAACTCCAATGTGAAGTCAGTGCTACTATACGGATCAGAGACTTGGCGCGTCATAAAGAGCATCTCCAACAAACTACGGACCTTCATTAACAGTTGTCTTCGCTCAATACTCAAGATCAGAAGGCCAGAAAAGATCAGCAACAGGGATCTTTGGGAACGAACCAACCAGGAACCGATTGTGAAACAAATAGGCAGGAAGAAATGGAGATGGATTGGCTGGCCATACTCTGAGAAAACAAACCATCAAGTGACATCACTAGACAAGCCATCGCTCGAGTGGAACCCGAAAGGGAAGCGGTGAGTTGGTCGTCCAAAGGTGACTTGGAGGAGGTGATGTGAAGAGGAGATGAAAACGTGTGGGCAGACTTGGAGCCAGGTGAAGACCCTAGCAGAGAACAGAACGCAATGGAGACGCACGGCTGAAGCCCTATGTTCCTGTAGGAATTAAAGGATACAATAATAATATTATAATAATTTATGTATGGGCCATTGGATTGGGTCCCAGTGACTTAATGGTCTACGAGTTCGGTGGCTTTGTAACCAGAAGGTCGTGGGTTCGAACCTGGATGAGTACTGCTGAAGAGTCCCAAACTAGGCCGACGAAACAGCTGTCCAGTACTCCCAGTTGGTTTTCCTATAGTTCTCTAACTGATGTCAGCTCATGATGAAGTCCTGTAACCAATCTATCAAATCCCTATAAACCAATACTTGAATACAGACTCAATTAAGTAAAAACATTAATAACAGTGATAATAACAATAACAGCGACAATAAGAAGAAATCAGGCATAAAGTACGTGCAACACGCTTCAAAATACTCACAACCTGAACTGGAATTATTCTATATTCTATGTGAAAAATTAATATATTCACAACAAACATAGATATATGCTAAAAATGGTGTGAATAAATTAATTGTGTTTTTTTTATCTGTGTTGCACATGTGAGACCACCATAGTAGTAATAGACACAAAAGTGGTGTATTACTGCTGTGAATAGTAGAATATGCATTATATCAGCTGATATCACTGATACTAGTAGTGACACATGAAAACGATTAATATACCAACTGTTTTGTGCTTCTCATACCTCTTGGCTAATTAACTGTATGATATGATTATATTAAATTGTAATTGACAAGCAACATTAGAAGAAGACGAAGGATGGCAATCAATTATATTTCACAAAAAGCACCCCCATCAAGTTAAGGAAATAAGCACAAACAATTCAGTGAAGAGTCTCTTTTCGACGAATTCATCCACTCAGCTGTATAATCGTAATTTAAATACAATTACTTTTGTATGCATATGTGTCTGTGTACATTAGAATTGTGAAACAAGAATAAGAATTAATGTAGGTTATTGCTTATGTCATCAAAATATTTCAAAACATTGTGATGAATAACCAAATTGTGAAGACTACTAAGTTCAAACTAAGATTACGTAATACGAAAAACGTTCGGAAAAGACTGGATGTTAGTTGGAGAGCATGGAGACAAGCATCACTAGTAGTTAGTAACTAGTGTAGTGTATCTAGTCCTGTCTGTGGTGCAGACTGAATTCATCAATCACGTTTTCAATGAGACCACCATTCTAGGTGGCTCGCCATCACGGTACACCTTGAATTGTTGATGCTAGATGGTTGGAGGCAATCGGACACAGGAATCTTTGTCTAACCTAGGTTTCGTACTAGTTGGCACTCACCAGTCAGTCAGCAAGGTGTATCTGCAACCCTGACTAATAGAATTCAGTCTGCACGAAACAAACGACAAGACACATTACACTAGTTACTAACTAGTGTCCAGTCAAAAGTATCCAATACAACCCGACAGGAGGTCAGTTGCGAGCCCACTTAACTCAGTGGCAATGTCTCTGAATGCACCACTGGGTGACGCGGGTTCGACTCTCAGAGAGGGATATGAGTTGTTCCTTCAAAGTTGTAGATACACCTTGCTGACTGACTGGTGAGTGCCAACTAGTACGAAACCAAGGTTAGACAAGGATTCCTGTGTCCGATTGCCTCCAACCATCTAACATCAACAATTCAAGGTGTACCGTGATGGCGAGCCACCTAGAATGGTGGTCTCATTGAAAACGTGATTGATGAATTCAGTCTGCACCACAGACAGGACTAGATACACTACACTAGTTACTAACTAGTGATGCTTGTCTCCATGCTCTCCAACTAACATCCAATCTTTTCCGAACGTTTTTCGTATTACGTAATCTTAGTCTGAACTTAGTAGTCTTCACAGTTTGGTTATTCATCACACATTTTTTGAAATATTTTGATGACATAAGCAATAACCTACATTAATTCTTATTCTTGTTTCACAAACCTAATGTACACAGACACATATGGATACAAAAGTAATTGTATTTAAATTACGATTATACAGCTGAGTGGATGAATTCGTCGAAAAGAGATTCCTTGTTGAACTGTTTATTCTAGTTTTCACTTAATTTCATTATTCCTGTGTTTGCA